AGAATACATATTTTCATACATATTATATAAAATATGTACAGTGCATATTACATATAAACAATACTAACATAGGTTTAATATAGATATTAAATATAATATAAATATATATTAAAATGTATTTAACAACTTTAGCTCTGTTTGCCATTCTAATATATTTTGGTTTATAATTTGGGTTATTCCTTCTGGTAATTTTCCTTACTATTGGCGTGTTCTGTACTGAACAGCTTGTCCACCTGAAGAATATAGCTCTGTCAGTGAAATGCTGCTTTCCTGTGTGCTCTCAATAAACCCAGAGACCTACATTAAGCTTATGTTAAATTATTTGTTGGTTCATTGTCACCAGTGTGCTCATGACTGTGTAAGACTTAGAAAGTCAATTCCTGTCCTGAGGGCCTTAGAGTCACTCAATGGTCAGCACTGTTCTTTTTCTCTCTTGAGTTTGGCAATTCTGAGCGGATTGTTCTGGTCTGAATGCTGACTGTCAGGAGGCCTTTAGATTTACAGAGATTATGGGTGGTTTTTTTTTAGCTGCGGTCTCAATTATCCATATTGCTTTATCTTATGCATCAGGTTCGTAGTTTAAATTCTTGAACTAAAAAGTACTTAGAGGGGAGAAAATCCTAAGCTTTCTTAGTTCATATTGATAGCACGCTGCAACATTATATGAATGTTTACATTACTTCTACAATATAATGCATAGGTAAGGGACTCTCTTCAACTTCCAGGTTAAATCCATATTTCTTATTGAAGTTCTTGTTGGCAGAAAAAAAGTACAGGTCCCCTGGAGAGGGACTACATGTCCTTTTAAGTCTTTTCTATCTAATTTCCAGGATTTCTATGTACCTCAATTCAATTTCTTGGCTCTGGATATAGCAGTCTTTTGGCTAAGATCAAGAATAGAATCAATCTAATATTTGCTTTTATCCTCCATTGAGCCACTTCTCTTTACGGGGAGAGGATAATGAAATCATTGATAGAGTACGTTTTACTTCTTTCATTTATTTGTATGCGTATTGTTTTGAATAATTGAAAATTTATGATTTGTTAAATTTAACTTGTACTTTCTTATTGCGGGGCCAAGCGCTAACAGTACGAGTCTCTCAAAATTGCTATCAAATCACATGGAAATTTTTCCTACCTATTAATTACATGGACAGGGGAGATTCTGAGCTAGAATGTAGTGAAGAACAGTCAGCTTAAAGAAGCAGTATCTCTCCCTAAGTAACTCAGGACTTGGCCCATCCTGCTGCTGATACACTGAAGTAGTTATCCTCCTGTACTTACATCTTATTCTAATTGGATATTGCCTGAGAAATGGCAGAATTAACTTTTTGTTTAAAGAAACAAGTTTCTCTGACAACCTGGGATTTATGTGTTTCTTTTTCTAGTACATAATCATGCCCTGATTTTTTCTCTGAAGATATATGATACGTAAAACAGAAGAACATTACCTAGAGGGAATACTGTTCCCTAGGTAGAGTATCTGTGATGAATGTTATAAAGGAGCCAGGAGAGGATGATTAATTACTATGTTAATGCATCTACGTACAATAATGCATGACTCCTTAGTAAGAGCCATGTAGCACTAATGTACTGTTGCTTTCACAAATTATCCATTTGTTACCAAGAGGGTCAAACCCAAATACCATGTGAAAGATCTCCATACGTGCCCGTGTTTTCTTGATCCTTGTCCCACAGGGCAAGAATATAAGCAATTTGTTGTCGTGAGGGCTGGCAGCCAGGGGAGCTATATGTCCATCTGATGTTTTTGTAAGAAGCAAGGCTCCGCTAGGAATTTCCATCTGCTTTTCCTCCTGAATTTGCCTACGTGCAATTACTGTGCTTGGTGATGCTTAACTAAAGGTGAATGGAAATGTTTGCAATTGAATGTATTCATCCGATCTCTTTCAATAGGAGTTTGTGTGAATAGGCTTGGAGTTTACCAAAACTTTGCATTTTAGAAGGCTTCTTGACAAATCACTCATTTTTCCTGAATTCATGAACTTCATCTACTGCTGAAATGCATAGACCTCTACAAACGAGAAACAAAATCAGATTGAATTACCTTGGTTATTAAAACTGAAAGATTCGGTGGAATGGTTTGGAGCCCTCTTGCAGCTGTTTTTGTTCCGTTTGCAGGTGACCTACACCGTGAAAGCCCTGTAAAGCTTCATGTGCAGCTGCGACCTTCTTTCCCCTTCTGTGTCAGGACTTGGGTGATGCAGGCAAGTCTGCTCCCTCCTGAAAAGATGTGACCTAGTGAGGAACAAGAAAGTATTTCAGGAAAAAAGCAGTGTAGTTTATTGTGCAGTGAGCAGCTTGGAATTGCTGTTATGCGTGATGCTTCTCTGCATCATTAGCAAAATGAAAATCTGAGGACCTGATGAAAATTGAGGAGAGCAACCAGCTCTTCACCCAGCCCCTGCCAGGACTGAGTGTAAATGGGCCACGTGCTTATCTTTAATAGGCTGGAAGTGGCCCAGGCACCGTGAGCTGAAGAGCTTTCCTCAAAGATGGGAAGAAGAGGAAAGTATTTCCTCTGGGATGTTAATGTGCTGAGTGACACCGGCCTGGGAAAAACCACCTCAGAAACCTGAACTCTGGTTGCTTCTCAGGTAAGTAGAAGAGCCCTTATTGTGTAATGCTGTGTAAGGCCAGAATTTCAGACATGGTCTGTTTAAAGTACACATGCTGGAACCTTTGCATCTAACACAATGGAGAAGAAGCAGCTCTATAGCAGGAGCTGCTGTTCTCTTCTGACCTGGAGTGCTTGTGACCATAATCATAGAAAAGCCACCATGGTTACCTGTAGTAGAAAAGGACTAGATCAGAGTTTAAAGATTTGCACTTTGTCCTGCATTTGAAGGAAATTAAAAAGCTGCCTTAAATACATACATGTACATACGAATGTGGGTTTTGGAAACGTGAAGGATCCACATGAAATTAGAAGGAATGGCTCAACGCTACTGTCGAATCGGGTTTTGTTGGTATCTTTTTTGTACCTAACCTTTGTGACACTGACTATCTAAAATTTTAAATTGAAAAGTAGGAAGTTTAGGAGCTCGCTACTGGAAATGTGAGCTGAACTTCAATCAGTTCTCAGCTTCAATCAACCTGTGCAGTGCAGGTTTTGTGCAAGAAAGAATACAGTCCTTTAATGTTGAGTAAGAGAAATGGAATTAGCTCCTTCTAAGGGCTTTGAGCCTCCACGTCTTTCACATTGAAAACGTTCACGGAAGCTGGTGGGCATTTTCAGTACCAGAGTAATGCAGGGTTACATCCAAAATTTAGCTGTTACCAACTAGATAACATCAGAATGAATGCATACAATGTTATATTGCATCCAAATATCACATCTAATTCCCTAGATTTTACATCTTAACTGTGTGTGGTGCTTGCAGCTCTGAATAATGTTCTTATTTGGTTAGATTTATATACACGGTAAAAAGGGAAGTAACTGCAGCTGCACTGCTGTCAGCTACAGAGCACGGCACAAATTGTAGGAACTCACAGTGTGGGCTCTACACAGAGCTAAGCAATTCTTTAAAATACTATGAATAATTCTACAAAACACTGCAGGATCCAGTTCTCTGAACCTCATTCAAACAGATTTCTGACTCCTTTTGGAAGCGCGATTGGTGTACGTGTGTCAGTGAGGGTCAGGGTGTTTGAGCAGGAAGAGGAGTTATGTACGTGTTGAATCTCAAACTATAAATCAGAATCTTAGTGGGTAATAGGCAGGTTCTCATCTCTTGTGACCCAGAGACACAGGTACTGTACTTAGCAGTTTGCACATTTTAAAAAACTGATGATGACAACCTTCAGAAAGTGGCAAACTGCTCAGAAACAGTAGCAGACCTTGAAACAGCTGCAGGAATCCCAGGAGGTCCTTGCTTTATGTGGGGCACTGCAAAGGAATTGTTTTGTCATACCAGCTCCCTCAGCACATCAATATACTTTGCAAAATAATTTAGCTTTTTCTTTGTTCTCACTACTGTTCACCCACCAAATGCTTGCATTTTACGTGTTCTTGCAGGTAAGTGCCATTACTCTGAATTGTTGCTGCTCTGGCGAGTCTGCACGTAACACAAATCTGACAGAGAACCTTGCAGCAAAGCTTTGTTTATTAGTCTCCCAAGTTTAAAAAAAATTAAATTAAAAAAAGGACAAAGAGGAGAAACAAGAAATACCGACATATATCATAATGAAAATGCAATTCGGTCTCTAAGTCTTCTTCCACATGCTCTAGTTTGTGAATTATCCCTAAATTGTACATAAAATATGAACATTTAAGTTAGCTGGAGTAGCTGTGTATCTCTCTGTTGGTCCCAAGAGACATGCTGATTTACACCTGCTGACATCTGAGCTATAGTAATTGGTGTTGACATTCTTGGACTGTATTTAGGTTTAAGTATTTAGTTGGAACGTGGTTTTCAAGAAGCTGAAAATGTTGGGGTGTTGTTAGGGTAGCTGCAGGGATAACTGCATGATGCTATCCTTGTAATTGTTATTCAAACAATGCTTACAGTAGTTACTGGCACTATTTGGATTAGGAAAACGGTAAGATTTAAATTAAAACAGGCATGGAAACATTGCTTCATGGTGCGTAATGTTCCTACGCCGTTGCCTCATGAAGTCTCTCCACACAGGCCTTGCGATCACTGGGTCGGGAGGGCAGATGTGGGCACTGAGGCACCACAGCCCTGGGGGCCCAGCCGTGCCTCACACCTCCTCTGCCGCCTTCTCACAGCCTCCATGGCGCCGTGTCCTTACTTTCCTTACAAACACCACCTGTGCCCTTTGCTGTGAGCTGTGCAGACCACCGGTGCTGGTGTGACAGTGACCGGCCAGCCTGCTAGCAGCCCCCAGGCTCCATGGGGCCGTTGGGCGAAGCTCCCCTCAGGCGGCCAAGATGGCGCCGGGCGGGGGGTGAGGGCGTCGCTCCGCCTCCCGCCAACGGCCCGCGCTCCGCCCCCGTTTCCCTGGGCGACGGAGACGCCGAGTCGCGGGCAACATGGCGGCGCCGGGGCAGGTACTCCCCTCAGTGGGGCGACCGGGCATGGGCTCGCCCCCCGGCCCTTTTACCGGCATCGGCTCATCCCGCGGGACGGGGGGCGGCGTAGGGGGGGCAAGGCTGGGGGCCGCTCTGCGCGCCCCCTTCTTTATTTCTGTAATTTAGTTTAAACGCCTTCACTAAGCTTCAGAGAAGGTAAAAAGGTGTTAAAAATGCAGCGGTGGGCGTATGTACCTGCGTAAGTTTCATCCCCGAGAGAGTCTGAGAGAGAGTTTCTTGTTTTTAAGTTGGTGTGTTGGCTCCGTGGGGGTGTGGGGAGCTCCCCGTGCTGAGGGGCAGCGCGTCGTTCCCCTCAGGGAGCACTGAGGGGGTGAAGCAAGAGCACGCCGTGCTTCCAGCAGCATCCCAGCTCTGTCCCTCACCTTTGGCTGCTTTAGGTAGCAGCATTCTCCTTAATATTTGCTTTTTTTCCCTTGTCCTTGGCCTCCTTGTTTTTTCTTATTGTGTTACAATATTTGACTTGATTGAGAGAGGTGTGATTTCTGACAGTTGGGCAACTCATCTAGTGCTCCGCGTCAAGAGAAATGTAAGAATACAAGTTATTCCTTCTGAGAACATATGAGGTCTTGCGCCTGCTCAGAATGTCTCCCTCAAACCTGTCTACGTAGTTGTAGCTCCTACGAGGTGACTTTCTTCCAGTTGAACTGTGTCGTTGTCTTAGATGGCGGAGAAGTTCCCGTGTCTGTGGTGGAAGCGATGAATGGCTTCCAGCCAGTGTGATGGTTGCATCTGTTAGCACAAAGCAGCCCTAGTGATATTCAGTACAAAAGCTTAACGTTTAGGTTTCCTTAAACAAATAAATCCCCTTCCATGTGAAATGTATTATTATGTATTCTAAATGCTTTATGAAAAATATATGTGTCTTTCACTGTATTCTCTGTTAGCGTTCTGTGTAAATATTTTGGCAGTCAGAGCAGTGTAACACTGGGGTACTGCAGTCAGTTAGATCATAGTGGAAGAATACAACGTGTAGTGTATGGGAAACGACAGGCTGTCAAAAATAGATTGTACATCCAGTTGAAATGTAACACTGAAATTTTCGTCATTTTTACTTTGTAGCTATATAAAAGGAATCTTTAGAGGAATTCAGTGAACATTTTTTTTTTCATGTATTTTCTGTTCCTTATGTATTAAACTTTGTTCTACATGTGATAGCTTATCTTTGCAATATTTTCTACTATCTTTTATTATTCATTTTTATTGTAAACTCTGCAGAATTGTGTGTTTTTATAAATTAAATCATAGAGTCTCCAGTTTTGGCTGAAGCTAGCTTTGCATGGTCTATATGTAAGCTGTAGGGAACACTGGATTCTGCAGTATTTTTGTTTTATTGTTTCTTAGATCCTGAGACAATTCCTTTTGATTTAAATGGAGTATTTTAATAATTGTTCAGACTTATAATTGCTTTCAGCAGAAAGCACATTAGAAAATCTGAATTCTGATCTTAGCAAGTCTTGCCGCTACTTTATTTTTAACAACATTTTTTCCAATAAGTAGTCTGCAGCTGTGAAAACATCAGTGAAGTTGAATGTCATAATACATTTGGTCATCCATAAATCTTGACGTTGGGACTGTATGAAATTTTTGAAACTTATTTTGTTATTAAAAGGACACTATCAGCATGTGTTGTTTATAATGGTTCTCTAAAAGCTTTCCTTCCATATAGGTTTTATGTTTTGTATTTGACGTATCTGCATATTTCTCTTTTGAGTGTAGCTGAAATTAGTGTTACTATTTTTATTTCCTTATTTGTTTGACAACAAAAGAAATATTACAACTAGAAATAGCAACTATTGATTTTAACTTCCCACTGTGGGAGCGGACAACTGGGGCTTTTTTAAAACAAACAGGAACAGTGAATGCATTTCTGGTTCTGCCGTAACTATTTATGTAGACAGCTTCAAGATTTTCTGCTTCTGCTGAAGTATTTGACAGCTTGATAACAAAATGCTTATAATAATACAAATAACAGCCTGTGTTGCTGGTGTGGGGCTTTTTGGTGGTTTTTTTTTTTTCATTCTCATTTTGATTAAAGTTGTAACTGATATGCAACACTTTGAGGGTACATCTGTACTGCTGTCAGCAGTATCGCTCAGCCAGAGGCAGCTGAGAGAGCTCTAAATGAACTAGCTCAGGTGCTGGAAGCTGTCTAGCTGTGGCAGCAGAGTTTGGTCCAGACTAATTTCCCTGATGGAGTAAGGACAGGAGGACATCAGGTTCCTTACAATTCAGGTATTTACTATAATTTAAGAGAGCTGATAAGCTATTCCTTTGTGACTATGTTTTTGAAAGCCATTATTTTGCAAAGCATGGTATTATATTGTCAAATGAATGTAAATAAGTACCATTTTCAGCCACTGCAGAGGGCTCATCCCAAAGGACAGGCTTATTTTCCTTCAGGAGCACTGGTGCTAATTTCCATTGTTGTGTTTCAAGGTTTTGCAGGCTGGACCAAAGCTGCAGGTAGGGAGGTGTCGTGGTTTAGGCTACCACCATAGAGGGCATTTTCTTCTAGCCAGGGATGACTCACCTTGGGTTTGGGTTTTTGAGAGAGTGTTCTTCCCCAGCCCCCCAAACACAAAGTTTTTTTTCTGCTTTGTGGTGGTTTTGTGAACAGTGACTGAGAGATTCAAGGAAGACCTTATTCTTTTGTTTTAAAATATCTGATTTGGTATTTTGATTTGATGCTGTTGACAAGAGATGCCCAAAGCATTTGGAGTAATGTATTGAGCAGGAAGAAACATGTTATATATTCAGAACAACTAGAAATTCTTTGAAAGAAAATAAATGAACAACAAATAATTCTCTAATACTAGTCTGTATTTCAATAGGCTAGGCCTGCTGCTGGGAGTATTGAAAGGTCTGGTTTGGGTTTTTTTTTTCCTAACACATGAGGATAGTTGTTACCAGAATTAACTTACCTTGGATTGCCTCGGTCAGTCACTACAGTTAACAGTAAAATAAATGGTAAATTCTTTGACATCAGTCAACACACATATAAAATAACTTCTCCTTGAAGCACTGCTTAAAGAAAGCAATCAAAAGACAAAACAGTATTCAATCAGAAACATGATAAGCTTTTAACTGTGTGTAGCTTCTGCCCAAACAGAATCATTCCACAAATATGAGATTGTTTAAATGATTCATGGGCTTTCACTACTGTTTTTAAATTACAGAAACATTGATAATTTTAAAAATTAATTTTCTGAATTATGTACTTTCTCTTCTCTAGCTCCTCATTGGTCATTTGGAACAGTATTTCTTATCTGATCCTTGTGCTTGTTGTAGTGGACAGCGGTGCCACTGATCCATCCTTATCACGAACAGTAACAGAGAGTAACACCCCAACTGGTGAGGGGTGTTGCTGCTGGGAATATCGTTACAGACACTGGGTGGTGAAATGGGGAGCCTTCACTTTGCCATGTAAACTGTCGGATTTTGATGTGCGGATTGCAGAGCCTTATCTGCAATACTGAGTTACAACAGCTTGAATGTCTTTTAAGTTTAAACCGCAAACCTTAGTAGGTTAAAGAATATGTTTCTAATGCTAGAGGACCTTTAAAGATGTTGAAAGAGATTGTAGGTGACTGAGTGCAAGGCACCTGGAGTTATTTTTAAATAAATTTGTGTAATCTTATATAGGTTATATATTGCTATGATACAGCACTACATACTAAGACTTCAGCAAATTTTCCCAGAGGTCCTTTTTGCTGTTTGTAATTCAGAGAATGAGATGAGCCTTAGCATCAGCATGTTAAGTGTGCTGGGCCTGACAACACGATGTGGATTAGAAAGTTTCATGCTGTAGTAAGCCAGGTACATACTGGAGGCACAAGAAAGCTCCTTTTTGGACAAGCTTTTTCTGACATGATGGATGTTGCCTGATATCTTTCAAGAAGCAGTGAGGAATTAGTTTGGATAAGATTCTTGGGAGTTGCTTTGCCTAGTAACTTTTTGCCTGTTAACCTGCTCCTTACAGCATGAGATGTAAGCAGTGGGAGGGGGAAAAAAGACTTCTGATATGTCTCTGTTTACAGGCCTGCTGCTGTGATCTTGAATGGTGGAGGAGTGTCGTGCAGGTAGTTGAGAATGGTGTGGCAGGGTCTTTGTTCTTACTCACACCTGGCCTGTAACCACAGAGGAGAAGCTGGAAGATAGCTTGATGAGAACAAAACCACTATGCCTTGAACTTTCTTATGCTTTTCTTTCTGATACAGTGCTAAATTCCTCATGCTCTACTGATAAAATCCATCTGGGGTAATACCTGTAAAATGTTAATATTTAGCCTTACAAGAAGTATAGTCAGTAAGGTGTTAACTGACTGACCAGTAGGTAATATGCCATTTATATAAAGGTGCAAAAATACATAGTAAAGTTTCCTATGTATTGGACATTCTGAGAGAAAGAGATGAACTGGTATTAATTCAGTTTCCAAAGCATCAATATCAGTTATTCTTTTAATTCAGCTCTCAATACTTTTAAAGAATGTCTAACATCACCGATCACTGCAGGAAAGCATTCATATTTTTCCTAATTATTCAAAAAAATTGTTCAATGGTAGTGTAATATTAGCATGTGGAGCTATTAATTCTTTTTTTTTTTTCCTTAGCTAGGGCATGCAGCTTAAATTACATCAATATTTACTGACTGTAGGAATACTTCTTTCTGTACTGCTTGAATTACTGCTAATAAAAACAAAAGCAAACTAATGTCATGCTTCTAACTATGAGAAGGAAGCTTTCGTTTACTTCATTCCTGTTGTTCTGCTGAGACATTGTATCTAAGACTAACTTCTTTACAGTTGGGAACAATTTTTCATATTAAAGTACATGTGAAAGTACTCTAGTACTTAATTAGTGGAAAAAACACTAATCTGTCCACTAAATGTTCTTTGTTGCTCTCAGTCTTGTTTCATCAGTCTTGAATGTTGTAATTCAGCTGGTCCCAGAGTTTTAAGTATATCTTGCAGTTTGGCAGCAGCAGGGGGAGTAGTGTAGCTTTATTTGGGGGCTCTCTATGACCAGTGCTGGAGTTAGTTGATTATTAGCCCAGAACAATGCTGTTCAGGCTCAAAAATCAGCTCATGTTAGGAAATCTTCCACTTCTGTCTCTCTAGGTAAGCTAGAAACATTATTCTGCAAGCTTTGCCTTGCTGCATTTCTGTAAAGCCCAAGTCCCACGGATGCAGAAGTGTGCCTGCTACTAGTAAATTTTGATCACGTTTTGCTCAGGCTTTTTTGTGTCCTGGTGCAGAAACAGGTCAGGCCAATTAGTCTCACAGTCCTGAGGCTGGAAGGGATCTCTGGGACATGAGGTGGTTCAGCTGCCTGCTCAGAGCTGGCCCAGCACTGAACGCAGACCTGGGCTTTGTCCAGGTCTGTCCTGAAAACCTGCAAGGGTGGAGATCCTTGCACCTTTCTGGGTAACCTATTCTAATGCTTGATTATCTTAATAATGAAATATTTTTCCTTATGCTGTCCTGTTCTAATGTATTGTAGGTCCCTTCCAACTGAAATTATTCTATTCTGTTCTGTTGTATTTTATGACCATTGTCCCTTGTTCCTCTGCCATGCACTTCGGTAAATAGTCTGGCTCATCTCACATTTTAGAATGTGCTTTGACACCTCCGTTTGTCACCTACGTACTCTGTTGTAAAACAGTTTTGGTTTTTTTTTTCCCACTGATTCATTTATTTCATAGATTTCTTACTGAAGTCTCCAGTTGAATGTTTTTGGTCAGTAATACTTTCTCAATTAAATATCATCAAATGTTCCTGTTCTTTTGTAAGACCATTGCATTGTTGGTTCATGCTCAGTTATCCCCTATAACATGTACATCCTTCTGTTTCCTATATGGAAGTGCCTTCCGTATTGCAAATACACAGACCTTCCCTGAAACAGTAGTGTCAGGTCCTCATACGTGTATCATTGTATTGCAGCAAACATCTTAGATTTCTGTTTTGGTTAGGGAAGGAGTCAGCATAGACAGTAAATTTGAAAATGCCATCAAGTACAGGGTGGAGAGCAAATAGCACAGTAACACGTATGTGTACTCATCTTAAGCAGAAACTGATCTTAAAATTTAATTACTGTGCAGTCTAGTATCACGTTGGTCAAATCTAGATTCATGGAATTTTTTTCACCTGTATATTTCTGTTGTTTTTACTTGCAAGTTAATTTAATCTTGTGCTGCACATAATATGTCACTATGTTCCCACATGAATTTAAGATAAAAATATTACTTTCCTTGTATCTGCCTAGCTTTTCTCTAGTGAAAATGTGTTATGGTATTGCGTGGCTGCCATGTAATTATAGCTGTGTTACATTCTTGGCGTTTGTTGAATTAATCCCTTGCATATTTTCTCAAAATAATACTGTTATTTAGATGTTGCTGACATTATAAAATAAACCTTTTAAAATTATATTCATATATACATGTGTGTAGGAAGAAGACCGAGAGCAGGATGCTGTAGGTGAAAAGAAGATTATTAATCAGACATTTCTTTCTCTTTCCCAAATTACTGCTTTGTCAGAACAAAATGTAGAAGGAGTTCAAAAGTAAGTGGCAATAATAATAAGAATGCTAGAACCAATATAATAATGAAATAGAAATTATAGACTGTTTGTTAGAACACTTTTGTGAAGGTTACATCATTACTCTTAAATTGCTCAGTTAAATCTTTTATATGAATCACAAAAGATGGGGTAAAAATGCTGTTGATCTCACATCCACTTTGTTTACTGTATTTCCTGTATATCTTGATTTTTCTTTGACTCTTTGGGGTTTTCATTCCTACTGATACTTCACAATGATATGATTTCTGAGTTTACAATAGTATTAATTATACTGCAAATTAAATACTAAGATGTAAATGCAAACAGGCCAAAACTGAGCTTTTTTTGTAAGTCTCACTCAGTAACTTTTTTGCTAAAACATTTAAGATTCTGTACTGTAACATGAGTTATTGAAAAATTGGAAAGGTTTTAAAAGTTCAGAAAGGGATGGAAAGATTAATAAGGTATTAGTAGGTAGCCTTTACAGTGCACTGGGGAAATAAGAGGCAGCCAAAGACTTCTGATGTAAGCCCATCTTGTCTTTCCTGTAGCAACACTCTCCCTTGTTATTAGTGGTTAATAGCAGCTAAATTTAGGAGGCCAGGAGTTCAGCCTGAGACTCTAGACTTATATTTTAAGGATGGGATTTTTCAGAAGTGCCCAAATTATTTAAGAGCACATGTATCCACCAGCAAATTCTTAGTGAATTGAAAGTCAAAAGGCTGGTCCACTGCACGAGTTTTGGGGGAGGCGGGAGAATAAAAAATCCAACCTTGTGCCTCTGAACAGATAAACCATTAATTAGAGATTAAAATTATTCATGAAATATATTCTATTCCTCCAATTTGTCACTTCTCTGAGGAAATCAAGGTTTTTTCTCGGATTTTTTTAAGAAAACTGGAAAGTAGATTTGATCCCATCAAATAATAAGTAGTAAAATTTCTTTCTTTTACTGTTTCCTCCAGTTCAATAGACCTCTTATTTTAGAGGAAGCTGAAGCATACAACTCGCTGGAGACTAAACTGTGCTTAACGGTGCTATTTATTGTGAAACTTTCTCATTAAGATATAAAAGCATTGAAAGATAGTATGTTTCCTCTTAGTCTCAGTTGATCACATACCTATTTTTATGTGTGTATATATATATACACTGTACAACTGGAATGTAAAGTATATACTGCATCTGACTGAAAAAAGGGGCAGTTACAGAGTATTTTATGCACTCTAAGAAGTTTAGTAACAGCATTGAAATTTTGTTAGTTTACCACAGTGCATCCTGTCTGTACAGAAGAGCAGTTTGAAGACCACAGCTAAGGTTAGAAAATCAGAATAGGTCTGATTCATTATGAGAATTTTGATGTCCTGTGTTCCCATCTGTCATAGAGTTTTATACAGCTGCCCATCTCCATAGGACTTGAGCACCTTCCGTGAAGGGAGAAATAGCAATCAGGATAACTAGGAAATCTAAATGCCCCATAATTTTCCAATCATTTATAGATGCTGTTGTCAGTGACGTGCCTTACAGAACATTGAAAAGATGAGTACTGGCATTGTTAGCAGCATCAGAGAAAATCTAAATCCCTGAGAAGCTCTGATTATGAAAACACAGAGTTGGCAGAAGCTTCAGAAAGAGAGGATATGGACTGTTTCAAACCTTGGAAAGTTAAGCTGGCCACATTCCACTTCTATTTCAGTACACAGTTAAATGTTTTTAACCGACTTGCATGTGTTCAGCTGTACAAATTTGTCATGCAGAACAAAGGAATACATGTTTTAAACAAAACTGATTGGATTATATGCTTTACTTTGTTAGCTATCGAGGGTTTAATTAAAAAAAGAAACTCATCCTATTTGACAGTGTATCTCTACTGGCTTGCTGAAAACCCTGAGAAACTAATGGTTGCCTATCAGTAGGTCTGAGATTAATGCCCTTCTTAGGAAAAATGAGTAGCAGGGGGTGGGGGAAAGACTTTGCTCTTTTACAGGGGACTAGAAACTGTGATCACAACTGGCATCTTATCATCAGGTATGGCTAAGAAGCCAAGGATGGCTTTAATGTAAAACTTAACTACCTGAGACATGGCTGATGTTATACTGGAAGAACTGCAACTGAAGCCCTAGCCCTGATCCCCTCTTCATGTGGAAAAATGTGCACAATTATTATAAAAGACATAACTAATTCTATGTTTGCATAGAGTAGACGTAAATGTGTCAGCAACAGCATGGTCTTCTACAAGGGAGTGTATTTTTTCATCACTTCTTCAAGTTAAACTAAGTGGAAAAATCTCCACAGTGTGCCAGTAAAATAGGATGCAGCTCTTCTTACATGTCTTGACCATTATGAAAGTGGAATTTAAACTTCTAAATATTTTAGGTTCTTTCAGTAATTTTATATTATATTATTTACATTAATTTTCAAATGTAATTTTTCTTCAGAGGCTACATGAAAAATAATCTTGAAAGGGAAACAAGATCTTTTTAGTACTGTAAAACTGTCTCAATCAGAGTGAAAGAGTGGTAGTAGAACATGGAGACAAATTGTTCCATTTCATCCTACAAACTCTTTTCTGAACAAACACTGATTTTTTTCCTTTGGAATTTCCAGTATAGTTCTCTTTGGTTTTTGTAATGCCCTTATTTTTGTTGTTTCATTAATCATATCTTAACATTTAAATAGTGTCTGTGGACACCTGTAGGTGTGTGTTTACTTATTTCAGTTGATATGTCCTGTGAACCTAATTGTTCATATCTATAAATTGATGTAGCTAAGTTCCAGGAAGATATATACATATATGTGTAGTATAATAACAGTGAGTATTATAGATATAATTACAAGCAGACTGAGTTAAACATTGAATCTGCAATTTATTTTTTAATTTTATTATTTTACTCTGCAATTTATTCTAGAATGCTGGAAGAATTTCTGAATTTTAAACAATTAAAGACATCTTTGAAAGAAGCTATTTTGCTAGATTATTATACTGCGGGATTTTGGTGGGCTAAAGAAAGGAACTTCAGTGTCATACAGCTCTCAGGATTCATGGATCTATTAAATTTCCTGTTGGAGAACCTCAGTGGTAAGTATAATTAAAAATTATAAAATAAATATCTGAAATGGAAGGCCAGAATGTTTTACAGTCATTTTAATAAAGTGATATTTAATTACAAGTAATTGTAAAATTATTACTTTTCCTCTTGAATGTTGGCATGTTGTACCTTGTACCTGAAAATAATTCTTATTGGCAGACATTAAACTTTCGTTAGGGAGGACTGTAGTCTTTTTAGGAGAATATCCCTCATTCTTTGTTTGTACAGAAAGTGGTTCAAAAGGGCCAGGTCCTGAGGAGACCTCTTCTTTGCTATGGTAAAATAAATAACAATTGCAGTAGAGTAAGAGCAAGGAGCTCCTAAATTCCAATTCTAGCTGTCTCAGTGACTGACTCACTGTAGCCTTGGGCACATTTCTCTGCTGTTTGAGATATTCAGTACATCCTGTAGCATTATAGCAGGTGAATTACATTTATTTTATCCTTGGAGGTCAGCTCTCAAGCAGCTTTCTATATGGGAAATGCTGCACTTCTGGCACAAAATATATCGGTTAACTAAAGACTGGTGAGAGAAGTAAACTGGAGTCGCTGCCGAAGATGAAAAATGACAATGGTAGGACTGTAGCTCCTGTGGCTACGAGGAAATTTGCAACAAAGCATGTAGCTGGGTCTAGCGGGAACAAAATAGCCAGAAAAAAATGGTAGCAGCGTCCTCTAAAACCCATTTTTCAGAGCTCACAATGCTTACTTAACATTCACTTTGAAGGTGATTATGTTGAGAAAAGTCCATCCCAGAGGAAGAGCAAAAGGACTCAGCGGTTCCATTCAAAGAGAAGATGAATATTTAAAATCAAGCTCATAATAGTTATTATACTCTTTCATTGTAATTTAATTCAAGGGCCTTTCTGACTTGGAATTTTGACAGAATATGTACGTGCTTTATGATCATTGGAATTCCAGTTGTCCTTCCTGTCTCCAATGAGAAAGTATCTTAACATATGCTAACTATATTAATATAACAATGGAGAAGAATGGAAACATGTCAGAAATTAGTTTTATGAGCCTGTATGCAATGCCTGTGTACTAGACAGGCTGGTAGCACAACCGATTATTAAAGCTGACTGACGTTTCTCAGGAATGTGATCTTAGTTGCATAAAGCTTTGCCAGACTTTAACTCTTTAAGCTGAAACTTTCCATGGCAATGTCTGCCTCTGATTAATTTTTATATATAAAATTACAACTAAAACAGTTCAATGAGCTTGCAGACAGAGGCTGTGGGGAAAAAAATGCATTATTTTCTGCCCTTTTTTTTTTTTTTAACAGCTTTAATACCCCAGTGCTTTGAAGTAAAGAAATAAGGTTTGGCAAGCAAGTGTTGTGAATTTGCTTTTTGCTGTCCTGTGAAAATCCTTTTGGATTTGGCTAAGATACATGGCTTTTAGGGAAAGAAAATGCAGTTTGGAAATGCTTACAGGAGACTTCTTATATTTTTTTCACAGCTAAGTTCCCCGGATAATCCATCTTATAAAGTATGCTGTAGCCCAGGGCTGCGATGAATTTCCTTGTAATTACTGTTCTCAGCCCGTGCAAGTTCCAAGCCCAAACATTTCAACGAAGAGCAAAATGCTAATATCTTCTATATTAACGACCACTTCTTTTCTGTTCCCTACACTGGACCCACACAGCCTGGAGAATTAAACTGATGTGACCACAATAACAAGAATAGCACGGACCAGAAAGAATGGATTTAGAGAAGGAGGGTAGTGGAAACTCATTTAAGGCTGGTAAAGGAGAGAAAAACTCCTTACTCTCTGGTAAAGGAGAGAGAAGGAGGAAAAACTGAGGTTTGGAAACTGGAGGCTTTGGTCGACTGGGAGCCGGGATGAATCACATGATTTGGTTCATCTTCTATTCATTGAGGGTAAAGTGCTCCTTACCTCACAGAAGTACTGTGAGAGCCTTCCTGAGAGAGGTAGCTCGGTCTGAAAATCAGTTACACAGAGGAAAGAGAAAATTTTGACCAGCTGGTGACAGACCTGAGCCTGGGTCGTCTTCACTTCTCATGATCGTGTTATGTATCTTCCCTTCCCTACTAACTGTGATATTTCTGGTTCTATTGTCCTTTCTCATTTCCCATGGCTTCTGCTCTATTCCATTCCATTTCCTCCACATTCTCTGTATTTCTTTCTTGTTTCTTCCATTATGGTTATTTATATTGTGCTGCTTCTGTTACGGAAAACTGAGATGAAATTTTCAGAGCTTTGATTGCTGGACCACTAAAGGGCAAAACTATAAAGACCTGAATCCTGTAAGATTTTTAATTTGCTTTCTGTACAAAGAACCAAGGAGCAGATCAGTAGAGAATTAAAACAAGAAGGAAAATAGATTTATTTCACCACTGGTGGATATTTGTCCATTTTCTACTCTATATTTTTTTAGACTTAAAAAGAACAAGTAAATTGTGTTCAAACTTTTTTTAAAACTCCGCCATGGTTCTAGTCATGGCACAGACTGTGTGCAAATCAGAAAGACAAATCCTTTCTTTTTAAAGGTTTATTGATATTAAGCAAACACTGATATAGTTCAAATTTTTCAGGTGCAAAAATGTCTTCAAATTTGATGATACATGCAGAATATTATGCATATTCATTTTTAATCAGTTATGACTGTAAGCACTTAAAAAAATGGTTACCCTTATAAACATTTGTTCTTGTAGTACTGGTTTATATTGCAAGGGGCATGGTCAGAAGAACAATATTTTGCAATACATAAACAGTAGTAAATTCATTTTAAAGATAAACATACTATGCATCTCAAATTTACATACTATTCTGCCTGTGGTTATCTCTGCATAAGAGGCCAAGCTGTAGTATTTTAAACACCCATTATTGTGATCCTTACATTATGAATGTGGATCAGTGATTTTCTGATGGAATTTTAATGCACATTTTATTGACAAGAATAATGGCAACAGAAAAAAACATTTGGCTGCTGTTCTTTAAGTTTCTTCATGGCTTTTAATGTAACTTCTTAAGCTTCAAGAAGTCTTACAATTAACATGGACCAAAAAAAACCCGCCCCACCCTTTCATGTTTATTCTTAGCTTTTATTTTTGGGGATTTCTTTGCAGACAAACATATGACCTTAGGAGATAATTTAAAAGAACTTGGAAAAGCAATGGCTGGAATAGGAGAAACTGATTCAGAAAGAAATGGTGACTTGAAGATCTTCAGCATTGAGCAAGCCAAAGCAGTCATTGATTACTTGAATATCAGGTATTTATTTCTACAGGTTTATTTCTTATTTTAATAATTTCATGTGGTAGGAAATTGGCTGCAGTTATTTAATTGAATATGTTCCTAGTGTGCAAACCTAATGCAGATACCACACTTTAAAACATTAAAAAGAAGAGAGAATATGCAAGGGGCAGTAAAGATCTGACCTCAGATGTCAAAGCCCATGAAATAAATTTAGACTGGAAGTTTATCAAAATGTACGATTGGGCTGAAAAGCTTCCTTCAGGGTTTTGTTTTGGGTGATCATGGGAAAGGGGAGAGTGGCATATAGAGAACATTCTTGATTTGCTCTTAAAACATTCTAGTTTTGCATTCCACTATAACTTTAAGAATTTGTCTGGCCTTGACAGCTCTAGTGGACTTCTTAAATGGTTTAAAGTTATGTACTTTACAGAATTAAGGCTACAATGATATATGAGTCACAAAAATGTTGAATTTCAGAGTTAGCAGAAGTTCAGTAGCTACATGAAAAGGTTTCATGACAGGTCTCAGTTTTTACACAGGGACACAGAAAGAGATGCAAACAGCAGTAAATCAGTTATTTATCTGAGAGAAAAAAATTAAGGGTCTAATGGGAGCCAATCACACCTCTCCATGTGAAGTTTTAACTATACAGTAATGTATACAGATTTTTCTCCACTGAAATGCCATAGTTAGGGCAGTGGCTATACTCATATACCACTCTTTCCAGTACATGGTGAACAGAATGGTTCTCAAGCTGTTTTATCACCCATGAATCTGGAGGGGCAAGGAGATGGAAAATGGAAAAGGTACTATTTTAATATATGCTCATACACTGTACTGCATCTGTACCTTTCAGCCACATGAAAGGTGGCTTAGATTGTGTTCTTGAATGCAGAAAGGCATTTGCTCTTGAAGACAGACAAAAGTACTAGGACAGCTGATAGCATTCCAGTTTAGGGTACTCAGATTCAGACTGGGGATTTAAACCCATCACAGGTTATTTGTCTTACCACTGGGCTATAAAGTCTGTCTCTTTCTCCTGCTCTCTCCTTTTTTTTTTTTTTTTTATATTTATGTTTATTTTTTCATAGAAAAATGAAAATGTAAAAAAGTTCAGGTTCCTCTAGTATGAAATGAGAGCATCTCTTTAAATCTCAAATTTCTTTAGTCTAGGCAAACCAATGTACTGCCAAGTATTAGCCCTAAACTAAAAGGAAATTTGGCATTTAAGATGCTTGACTCAACTTTTTTCACTTCTCTCTTCCTGTCTGTGCCTTTTGTGTATTTATATGGAACAAATGTTCTTTCCACATAACGTGTCTATAGCTCTTGTGTAAATTATCTATTGAAAGATACCTTGCCCATGAAATAATTCCTTCACAGTCTCAAGAATTTCATCCAAGAGATTAGGTGCTCCATCCTACTACCACCTAAGTATTAACTGGGTGGGAATACAATCAAGCCAGAAGAATATTGCAGCAGAATGGTATCGTGGCCACCAAATATGTGGTTGTATGTTCAAACTGCTCAACTTATTACACGTATGTGCTGTTGCAAGGTCATGGATATATACACTTACACTGAAGTGTGTCATATGTGTCCAGTTTATACAACCCATTATTTCAATCATTTGAATGTTGTTTTTTTTTCTAAATGAGAACTTTATCAGCACACTTCTTATGTGGGTATATTTTGAACTTTATAAACTCAGAAATAGGTTGACTGCCTTTTATTACAATTCAAATTAATGTATTACTTCAACATTTTTTCTTGTTCTTCACTTTTTTTTTGTGTTTAATTTTAAATTAGAGGCCTATAGCTTTTTCTTCTACTCAAGATAGTATGACATGTTTTAGTTCAGATCACATTTTACAGATGAGCTATAAACCCATGGGATTTATAATGGAAATGGGGACAAATGCTTAACCACATTGGCACAACCTGTGCAGCAGCTATAATGACACCTTCAGGTTTGGTGGAAGGTGACAGTTATCATCTTTTTATCTTGTCTCCTTGGGCAAACACACATCAACATAGCTCTTGACATTTCCTTTCAGGAAGCAGTGGAGCTAGGGAAATATGTCATTGTTAATCACCTTCAAATTCTCATATGACATCATAAGAGGGTCTATTCTTAACTATCTCACTTGCATGAGTAAAATTTTTTTTGCATAACTTTTAAAAATGTTGGTATGGAATTTTTTAATTGTTCACAACAGAAGTAATCAAAGCATTTTATATAATGCCTGATAGAAGAAAGAAAACTAGACTGTTGTTTCATTAGAAAGTATAAATAAGTTTTAAATGTTACATTCTGCCAGTGCAGTTTGAAAGATACATATCTTATTTCTCATATGTATGTTCTGTTCTCATATGTTTTGTCTTTTGCAAATAATCCCTGCTAGAATTTTACCAAATAATAGGTGTGCATATGAGGGGATGTGTGTTTTCATAAATTGGTGTGAGTCGTTTCCACGTTAAGTCCTGAGATCTGCTTTGGTGAAGTACTGCAATAAAAACTTATGGCAAATGAAATGGCAAATATTATAACAACTTAATTGCTTATGTGGTTTGGGGGAAGGAAACTTGTAGTTTATGGTAGCCAAATTTCTTATGCAAGTTCATAAACAAATTTGTTTTTAACTAATGGTAATTGAATGACTGAATTAAATGTAACTATAGAATAAAACTTTCATATGGCACTTAAAGAACCAAGTGTTCAATGAGGCTGCCATAATGCTTCTCACCAAATTAGGAAATGCGTCTCTACGTACGTGCAAAAATGTCTGCCCCCATTCGGGTAAAATTTATTAGAAAGTTTCTCAGATGCATTTGACTAACTGCTGGAAGGTGTGGAGTTGTCATGTAAGAGAGGCAGGCCATGCTGCCATTTTCGTCTCCTAATTCTGAGCTGCTTTCATGGGCTGGAAGAACCACTGCTGTACGTTAGTCAGCACTTAAGCAGTGCTTAAATTAGAGCAACTTACCCCTGGTCTGCAGTATTTCATGGAACCTCTGGTCGTGTGGCAGCGTGTAAGCACTGGTGGTGATCCAGGGAAGGACAGTCAGCTGAAATAGTGTGTACTGAGCATCAGCTCCCACAGCTGGCTTCCCTGTTACCTCCCACAGCCAGGATTGTATTTCAGACACCTGCCTCTCACTTCGCACACAGCTGGCTGGTCGAGCCCTTCTGCTGGCTGTGCCAGGGTGCAGGGCTGCTCGGTTGGTTGCTGGGGGGCAACACCAGCCCACCTGTGGGAGCTGGGGCTCTCTGAGAGCCTCGGGCAACACCGTGTCTCAAAGAGCAGCCTGTGCTGGGTTGCGTGGCCATGCACTGGCATTGTAAATGCATTTTCATAGCTGTTGCATGATACACTGCAGCTGGTAGCAGCGTCTTTAGCTGGATAATTGTGTATGTTGGGTGTAGTAATTACTTTCATAGACCTATAGAAAAATTGAGGTTGGAAGAGATTTCTGGAGGCCATCTCATCCAAAGCCCTCCTTAGTAGGCTTCAGTATTCCAGGTGTGGCCTTACAAGTGCCAAGCAAAGAGGCATTGCTCTCCCAGGTGATGGCTTTCTTAAGAAAAGAAATTGTGTCCTGTCCTTAGCCAGAAAGCACAGGAACCAGTTACAGAAGTTCCGTGCAAATATTGCTGCATCTTTCTTAGGTACATCAGCCAGGAGTCTGAGAAACTCTTGGAACCGGTCTTCAACCTGGACTTGCTATGAAATCACAGAGCTGGGGCTTAAATCATAAGTCAAAATGACATGATAGAAGCCAGAAGTTCTGTATCAAGATTTTAAGAGGACAAGTAATTGTAACAGATGGACTGTGAAAACCAAACCTTTGATTAAACAAATGACATATCATTGATCATCAGGAAAGGGAACAAGGAAAATTATTTAAAACATGTGAAAGGGAAAGCCATGTATGTTTTAAGGAAGATAAATATTTTAGGCCATTGAGAAAGTCTGCTTAAAGTTACTTTTTTTGTAATACACAAAACTCCAGTGTGTCAATCTAGTTTTTTAGTTTTTCTTTGAGGCAATTATGATGATGATTTTATGATGATGCTGAATTCTATGATTCTATGAAATACTATGCTGATTTTGAAACATGACCTTGAGAGAATAAATGTTTCCATTCTTTATTGTTTTGGTGTTCCAAGATAAAACTTGCTCGCTTGTCTGGCAACCCCTTCCAAAATCTGAAAGCTGATTTGGCTTTGTTTCCCTCTTCTCCACTATTGCTGATATTAAAGGAATAAGTATCCTGGTGATAAATGTTTCAGGAATTACTTTTTTCAAAGTAGAACTTTGTCTTCTCAGAGTTCAATCTCATAAGGACAAAATGGATGTATTTTTAAGTATCATACTGTATTTTCTGTGGTCATCTGTTAGTGAATCCTGTAAATTAAATATTCTGCATATTGTACATGAAGTTAAACAACCATTTATTTTTAAAATTGCAGTATTACCATGCTGGAGAGTAACTCTTAGTTTAACAGAATTTTTAGTATTGTTACCTTTCCAAAGATTTACAGTGGTAATAGTACTATATTCTCTTGTTTTCCAGCTTATTTAAACACTATAAACTATATGAATACCTCTTCCACAGTCCTAGAGAAGAACTTGTGATAAGTAATGAGGTAAGTCATTTATATAGATGGAACTCATTATGCAGAGTTATTTAATGAATGCACCGTGGCATATGTTTTATATTGCTCAAAGCAACTTCATGTCAACATTACTGCATTACTAACGTAAAATGGCTGATTAAAGAATACAAGTTAGATGTTTTGATCCTCATATTCAAAATTAATTTTAGATTTCAAAAAAGTGTAAATGCATTGCTTGGTTAAAATGTTAGCTGCGTTAAATCAGGAATACTTTTGTGTATGTATTTATAAGTGGATGCATGTAATTTGAATTAGCAATGCATAAGTCTGACTCCATTTTTAAATAAGTAATCAAAATCACAAAAGGTTGTGTAGCTATACCTAGTCTGACCACAATCCTAATGTTTATATATGTGTATGTATGGACAGAGTTTTGTTTCTACTGTAGCCACCAATTGTTAATTATGCTGACTGTAAAAAACAAGGTAGCTAGAAATTTAGTGTTTTGAAAGCATTCAGTTAATAATGGTGAATTAGCCTGACTGTAAACTTTGCCGTGCATTCTAACTTAGATGTGAAAAAATGCATAGGAAAATGTATTGATGCAGGATGTGGCCTTTAATCAAACGGACAGATCCAATTCATCAAATAAACCTTCCTTGAGCTTGACTGTGCATTTTAAGGATATATGTTACTATATGTTGAAAAGGATTTGCATTTTTAATTTATATTAAAAGACAACTGGTTGCTCAGAGAGACACGGTAGTGGGATTTTTTTGATGGCACGTATTTTAGTTTATCAGTACACAGTGAAGTTGAAGTTAATGCACTGGAAAATTTTCTTTGCACTTTAAGCTGGTGGTTTGACTCTGTAAATGATGTGGGATAATTTCTTCCTGTGCTGCTTTTAAGTAGTCATACTATAAAAAAGAAGGGCTCTTCTTGACAGGGATGCAAATATTTGGAAATTATTCTAGTCATTTATAAGGTGAGTTAAAATTCCAACTGTAATGAAATCGGTGACAAAACTGTCATTATGTAAGGAGAGCAGGACTTAAGCATCACTGTGTTAGGGCTGATTTTTATATTAGCTAATCAGATCAATGGCTGGTATGCACTTTCTAATTGATAAAATTATTTTTAATGAGGCTTTGATTAAGTAATTTCTTCTGTAAATTTGGGTAATGTATCTTATCAGTTGTAGACTAGCTTAAAAGAAATGTCTTTTTGTTTTCTTTTAACTCATTTCTGGGTGGCTGAGATCAGTGTTCACTGTCCCAGCCATGGAAAAGTGGTTGCTCTGCACACTCCATCTGCTGGGGAGGACCACCTGCACTGGAGGTACCACCTCCACTAAGGAATGGCAGAAATGTGTTTCTGTGAATTACTTTGGTGCTGATCCATCAAAGGAACAAGTGCAATCTACAGTTATAACTGTCACAGAAAACTTTATGACAATTTTTAGCTGTAACTCTTAAGGATATTTCTTACCCATGCACCAGTTCAGTTTAATCCATCTCTTTTGTGTTCTGAGTTCCATAGCAGAGTCTTTAATTTCTCCAACCACACTGCACTGCTCAAGAAAATCAATACTTATATTCCTGTAGAGTTTCTTTTGATAGGGTGATACATTGTTCTTCAATAAGTAACAGTCGTAGGCATTGAAGCTACACATACAAATTTATGGCGTTATTTGTGCTTGCTTTAGGGTGTTAAAGTGTGGTAAGAGGTGAACCCAACATAGACTTCAAGTTCTTTTGCTATAACTTTGTTACATTTAGAACGCTTATCCATGAAGGAGAGCATTACCTTCTATGTTTGCGTTCCCTTAGACGAACAGCTCAAACCCTGACAAGGAGGTGGGGCAGATGTGGTTTGGTTTGTATGGCTACAGCAGGAGCACGCCTGGAGTCGTGCGCTCTGCAGTGCCTTGGCTCAGGGAACAGAAGGGGGCAGGAGATTGACTGGGAAATCTTTGTGCTGGAAGTAGATGATAAATCTGTGCTGAAAGGCTGACTGAAGTCTTGCTACGTAGATCAATGTGTTACTAAAAAAAAAAGCCCACGTAGACACACCGTGGCTCACAGATGGATGTGATCCCTACTGTAAGCTGAGTGTTGCTAATGCCTAAAAAGTTTTGGTTTAACTCTAACAATAAAAGTCTGTTCTTTGGAATGGGGGACTGTAAATTGTAATGGCCAGATTTGTCCAAATAACAAGAACCATGATGTTCCAGGAGCTTAATTCCAGTATTATCTATTTTTGCAAATGAAGACTTTGAGGCAAGTCAGTGAAATTACTTGTTTCAATTTAAATGATTTGCTTCGACTGAAATGGCTTGCTCTAGCTCAGTGAGTAAATTTGTGCTCCACATGTGCTGAAAGTATTACCTACTGAATAAAAGTCCAATAGTCTAATAAGAAGACCTGTTTCTTTAAAAGAGATGCAGCTAGAACAAATAAAAGCAGAACTTAGTGTTGTAATGGATATCCTTTTAGAGAAACCACAGTATGTGTTTTCCAGAAAAATCTTACAGCCATGGATTGTAAACTCATTGGATTTTATTTTTTCTCTAGCACAGGCAATTATACAGTGTTCTCAATAAGGTTTCCTTTTTGATCTTTCACTGCAGTTATTTCCAAATGACCCTGTCATTTCCTGTGTAGAATAAAATCAGACAAGAAAAGGGAAATGACTCAAAACTCAGTTAGACTATGCATACAATATCTGTGCCCGTGCCACTTAACAAAATTTAAGTTACTTAAATGTGGCACATAATTAGTGGAGCTTCACAGTCTGATTAATATTCTACGTTTATTCTACGTTTGATGCAGCTAGCATAATAGAACCACCTTTGTAAAATACAGACAGTATTTAAGTCATAAAAAAAAGTGAAGTAACAAATGCCTGGCTAATTTAAATATATTTTTACGTTGGCTGAACCTTGAAACCAAACTGCCTGAGGTGATCATATTGCCTAGGAAAAAAAAAAAGATTAAAACTGAAAGACATGAATGCTTGGTTAGATGATAAAACACAGATAATACGTCTAACCTACTTTGGCAGTATTTAAAATTTAAAACTTGCTTTTCCAGCTTTCAAATCCCTTAATTCTCCTTCATTCCAGATCTACAAAGACCTACATATTATGTATGCATGAATACCTGTTAGAAAACATGACGGTACAAGGAATTACTGAGAAGTGTTAGGATTGCTAAGTAAATTCCTTGCTTTTATTCTGTTACTATTATGAGCAGTTCCCCGCATTTAGAATGATTACAGAAGAAGCAGTGCTTAGCTGTTCTGTGGCTATGATCCAAAATAAAATGCATGTAGTGCTAACATAGCAGAGTTCTTCGGGAATATCGTTGTTAAGGATACTGGGTTTTTTTTTTTCCTTTTGCCTGTTCTGGAGGTTTTACTCTGTAGCTGTGATTTAGTACACCTATATTAGTCTGCAATTGCAAAGAAAGCAAAAGGAGTACAGACTAAATCTTGATGTGCAGGGATTCAATGGAGCAATTGCTATTAACACGTCAGATCTTATAACACAGTTTTAAATTGTTAATACATCTATTGTGTTGAAGTTTTTATTCTTTTCTGTTTCTATGTTCAGTAATTTATTTTGCTCTGATAGGGTGATATATTACAGCATGTCTAGTATTTTTTTTTTACATTTACAAATTGTACCTTATAATGCAGTTCATGTTTTTACCAGTCTCTGTTGTGTATTTTTGGATGGAATGAAGCTAAGGTCTTTGGGGATTATGTCTGCTTTGAAACATTTCCTAATAAAAATAATGTGGTTGGTAAATCTAGTTTTATTCCTAGTTGCTTTAGCCAGCCTGATGGAGTAATCTGCTATTTTATGGCCCAGATGACTAGCTAAGTTTGACTTCTTGAAATAGTAGTGTACAATGTAATTTTCTTTAGAGATGTCGTAGTGGGTCAGGTTGCAATAAAAATATCGAAGATTAAGTTTAATGGCAGTGCAGAATCAGTATTATAGCAGTCACTAGATATCATCCTCTGTACTTAGAGTTCCAAACCAGTTTCCATTAATGCCTTCTTTCCATGTACTCCTTACTTGCTGAAACATTAAGTGTTCGGACTATGTCTGGTCTTTATCCAATTGTGGGTTGGGTCTTTTTTTGAAAGTCTGAACAAAATCCCTTCTGTGTTTGAATGTAAGCGGGTGGATTGGAAGAATATACTATTTGAAAGCTAATAAAGCTTTTTTTTTTCAGATGGCAAAAGACCTGAAGTCTAGGACTTGACTTTGATATGTAATCCTCATTAGGTGTTGCATATTTAGATTGCTTAATCAATCATTGTTTAAACAAATTTGCTCAATGATTTCTTGAGAACTGCATTTTAAAGATGTATGAAACCAGAACATTTCCATAAGCATATCAGTTCACGCAAGAGCGACTCATTCCCCAGCTAATGGAGTGCTTGCTTTTCAAAGCTTGGAGGTTTCAAATATTTGTAATGCTTAAAACCACGGAGTTGATTTTCTGTAGCTTTGTTTTGTAAATATCACCATGGCAAAGACATCGGGGCTACTTGGAAGGAAATAAGAGCGTAGGAATGGACGAGACCTTTTCAGTTGTCAACTCTAATGCTGCTTTCTCATAGGAAAATATATATGATCCTCTTCAGAAACTTGTCAAACTCCGGCTTAGGAAGTTAACTTTTTTGTCTGTGCTATTCCAGTTAGAAAGCTGTCCTGTTGCCTCATTTCTGTAAGGGTTATAAAACTTCTAATTTTCAGTCTAAGTGTACTCATGACAAGCTTACATGCATTTGTCCTCATGCCAATTTGTGCCAGTATTGACCTTTAGTTCTTGTTCCATCCCCAGTGTTTATTTTTCTAGTGTATAAAGAGACAGCAATCTTATTGTCAGCCTTCATTTGGCTAAACTAGAAAAGGCAGCCTTCTCTAATCTTTGCTTTTGGTAGGCTTTTGATACATGCATTTTTACATTCATACCAGCCTCTAGTCATTCTCTTGGACTTTTTGTATAGTT